TCCTATGACAACCTGGATAACAAACGCGCCAATAAATATGTATTACATACATTTTTTAGTCGCTGCTATCGATATTATTGCTTATCTCAACTTTGAAAAATACCATAGAAGAAATCTCGGAAGACTTAGGAAACGCTACCACTTTATAACCTACTATATACAAGGCATTAAACCTAAAAATCTCAACTGGCGGAAAGGTTTTGCGCTTTATCGTAGATAAAGCGAATCATGCACGAGAAAACGACAGGCTTTACAAATCCCTTTTTATCAAACGTCTTATCCCGCGTAACGTGGGAATGAAAAATATAATAACATTCCTCTCCACTGCGCCGAAAATATATTTTAACATAAATAAACCGTGTTCCAACTAAAGTACAAAAGGTAAAAGATTAGTCGAGATTTTAATATTATGATAAAACAAACGAAACATTTCGTTAAATTGCTCAATAAACTTCTGAATTGAACAACCGCAATATAAAGTTTATGCCGAATCATTTTGCAGAGTATAATTAAAAAAAAACCTTTAAGAATGTTTCTTTAGGACTATTTTTGTTACTGCAAATCTCATGCGTTTCTAAGTATGTGCTTTAAAAATACGACCCGGAGTTAATAACTCAACAGTTGACAGGACACGTTGTTGACAGATCTGACGTTAAAATAGCACTACATGTGTTTTCAACACGTTGCAGCGACTCATCGGCATCTTTTATTGAAGTAGTAGTGATATAAAGTGCCTACTCTCTAAAAGTCAATCAGTGGATCATCACTGAAAGCACTAAATCATTCAGTGCTATATTTGTAACAGTTTTCAGTGATAATGCACTGATTGACTTTTAGAGAGTACATGCCATAGCAGTAAAAATTATACGTCATAGATTGAATTTGAAATTTAAAAAGTGTGAAATTTGAAAATTTGAAAACTTTCTTGCCGCAAACGAAATTAATTACTGGAGGAGAGTCCCCTATTATGGTTGTGATGGCGGGTTTTCAGCATCCAATTTCACAAATGTTTTTTCGCAACGATGACACGCATGTCTAACAAATGAATTTTTAACTAAACAGATTTCACTCTAAGGGCAATAAAAATTCACGGGGGGAACCAAACAATGTCTGTTAATTTAGCAGCTATCTCATATTAGAAACCTATCATATAATAGGAGACTCTCCTCTATATAAAAACATTCTCCAGAGACCAAAACGTACCATTTAATGGTAAAAATAAATGTAATAGGAAACTACGTCGAAGTCTACGAAATACGTCACATATTGTAACAGAGAGAGAAAAATATATTTAGCGAGTGACAATTAATAATTATTAATATTTACGGCATTAAAAAAAAACACTGTTGAAACGTAATTGAATTTGGTGAAAATTTCCAAACTCATTACATACGCGACGCAAATTCGACGCGATAACGAAAAAAGAAAAAGAACCAGCGACGGCGGACAATAAAAATTTACATTCCGCTATTAATTCGACCAAGCAATTTAGCTCAATTCAACAGAAATAAATTTTACTGTGCTACCACACTTTCAGGAATGAAATTGCATTAGTTGTCGGCAGCGAATCGCCGCCGGCATGCCCGACGAGGATACGTTATATCGAGCTATCGTTTACGGTACATTTACGCTACTTAGCGAAGTTGCAACTCCAAGTCGAAGCCCGAATATCCTACTATATCCACGCCGAACGCTAGAAGAATAATTCAAGCTTCGACCGGCGAGATGGGGAGCGGCGAAGGGATTGGAAGGGACGGCCTTTCTTAGCACACGCAAAGCTTAATGCAGAGTGTGCGATGCACAGAACACACATCGGACTCGAATGCAGACACTAGCGTTGTTGACGCGGGTCTCGGAGTTTAACAAAGTTCTTCCCAGTCCTAACGAGCTTACTCTTGGCGAGAACCAGTCGAGTATATGGCTTCCGTCTCTCGTAGCAAATGGTTAACCTACATACCCCGCCTCGAGATATTACTTACATCCGGATCGAACGTAGCTAGACGCGACTCCGTCGCGGATTCGCGCACCGGACATCGTATAAATCACTCGATATGTATTTTTCACGTGTGCCGATAGAGATTAATACCCCGGTGAGACGTATAAATACATCTGCGTGTAATATCGAGGGTGTCCCTTTTAATTGGACAAGTGGTCTCGATAGTCCGAGATCGCCCGATGCAGTTTCTGCGGCTCTAAAGTTATTTCATAAGGATATTTCCGGCATTTGTGACGCGAAGGGTACACTGCGGGAGAGCGCTCAATTTCATCTCGAACGAGGCTGGCCGGCCAACTACGAATGTATGGATGTAACCCCCGTTCCTCGCCGCCCCGCCGTAATTGAATACTCAATAGGATTTACCAAAGCGGGCCGCGCGGCGCGGCGCGGCGCCGTGCCGCGACGTGGCGCGGCGTGGGCGAGCCGATCGACAGGACACACGCCAATATTTGATCCGCGTCAAAAGCTCCGAGGCGGATCCACCGCCGACACGGCGGATTTCCAACGGTCGTTAACCCCCGCGCGCGCTGGCCGCGCTGTCTCGTCGCCGCACAGCGGCGTGTGATCCTCTCCCTCTCCACCTTCCGCTCGGCTAAACTTCCGAAAAGCCGTCATCCCCGATTTGACGGAAATTATCGATTGTATCTTTGTTTACGGTAAAAAGCGACGCGTGCGACCTATGGCCGGGAACGGTCCCTACGTCATGTGCTTTTTCGACAGCTGCCGGGATAAATTTTTAAGTGACAGATCTGCTGTCTAATTTAATAGAAAGCTGGTTCCCTCCCCTCCTTTTTTTAAATTAAGTTTGCACCTCGCTAAAACGGAAGTACATTCAGAGATACTTAATATACGTCGCACCTGCACGTCTCCGCGAAACCTGCACTTGCTCATCCTTTTGTTCATATAACACACCGCGCGTGTCTATGTTTAGCCTAACCGCTCTATCCGTTTTGGGTAACGTTCACGCCGTGAGACAAGCAAATCCACAGGTGCGGTTGCTTTAGGGTGCTCACATCGCGCGGAAGTGCCTTTGAATGGGTAGAACGGCCGTCGACAGCGCGTGAATGCACCGTAGGAGACACGTATGAAAGTCGCCGACTATCCGGCGCAGAACGACCTTTCGGAGGGACGGAATAGCCCGGGTCGTCGCGATCCAGAAGACGAGACAAACCGTTTCCCGTCGCCGCGCTACCGTTTCTCACGATTCTTCTACCTTCCCCCGCGTACGAATGAGAATTAAGCCGCGGGTTAACCAGCGCCTTGGAGATTGCCCGAGTGATAAACGGCCACCGAGTGGATAGGGTTCTTATCTATGTTATCCTCTCCTTCGAGTTCATTTTAACCAATTTTTTCGGCCGCTCGAGAGAGAGAGAGAGAGACTCGAGAGGAGACGCCTACTTTAAATAAATTTCAAGACTTTCTACGCGGTTGCCGCGAATTTGGATCAAGACTATTTTACAGCCTGCAGATAACTCGGTGAATATAGAGGACAATTGGACGAAAAAGAAATAATCTTCTCTTCGTATTGTTTTAAATCCAGCTTTGGAAAAAAATGAAAATTATGAAAAGATAAGAAAAGTTCCACGATTAATCGCACAAATTTGCAGATTATGTATTCGCCTTAGAGTCATTCCGCGACAGAAGCTGAAATTAACTCATCGGCTTCTCTTAATATTTATTAAGAAATGAAAATACTAACGCGTTAAATCTGTTAAGCTCTATAATCGACCGCCAAATAAAACTTATATTAAAATTTGCTGGACAGAAGAGAAGATTGAGTCTACTTTTATTTTCATTAAAAGGAAAAGAGGCGCGATATTGATCGAAGAATATACTTACAAATTTTTGCTTACAACACGATGGATTCATTATGACAGTTTTTTTTTTTAGCGAAATGGAGAATAATCGCCTGCCATAGGTAATGGTGCGCGATAAATTCGCGGTTGGTTGGCGCGTAAAGTGTGACTATATCGACGCTTCGATTGATTAATTAGATTAATTTTAATTGAACGCCTATGTATATTCTGAAAGGTTGCCTACCGTCAATTTAGTTACTCGATAAATCTATAAAATAGCGTGACGAAAGTGTGGCTACATTTTATTAAATTTCGTCTCGCAAAAGGTCGCCGTGTGGCATCGCGTCGGGCCAAATTTAGTAATGGATCATTATTGAGTTCCGCAGCGAAGATACGAATATTGAAATTTAGATAATTACTTTTGTCGGCGCGCCCACCGTACTTGCAATATTTCAGTCCACGATACGAGTTAATAAAAGAATGCACTCTGTCGACATTAACATGTATACCCTCCCTCCAATTTCCTCGATAGTTTCCAGACATTTATTTCTACACGAATTAAAGGTAACGCCAGTGAAATGATAAATGTCTTTTTCCCGTTCACTGATTGTCAGTATAATTTTTAAACCGGAGACGCTAGCTCTTAAAGCAAGCATCTTGATCTTTTGTCGCGAATGGTTCGGTGCTAACATTCGAGATAGAACAGTAAATTAGCTAAATAGCACTTAATTCTACGATAGTTCCCAATTCAATTTGCTGTGGCGAAGGTGATAACTTAACGGAGGTTATCTTGTGGTAGATATTATGGGACTAACGATAACTAACTGCCGAACTCTAATTATATAATTATCATGCAAGATGAATCGCGTAATAAGATGTAGAAACTTCAAGTGCTTTGTACGTACATAGAGAAATTTTTTTTATCCCCATCAATCGTCTTTAATCTATATTTGAAACAAAACTTGCTCGATTCTTTCTAAAAATCAATAGAATTGAAACAGTAAAAGTAGAAATAAATAGATATGCCAGCTATGCAAATAAATCCACACATCTCTGAAAATGTAAGAAGGTAAAGAAGAGAGTTTAAAACGAACCATTTAACGATAGATGGGATTCTGAAATGGGATGCAAAAGGGGATATAAATTGGCTGTTTGCACTTGAGTAGAGCACTGTAATAGACGAATATTCTTGTTTAAATATTACTTACGATGTTTGAGGTGCAGTCTAGGAATGGGATCCTGCGGCCAAGCCACATTTTGCGCGACTAAGCTGATCAGAGCCAAAATCCGCAGCGACGCGTTCATCCTGGAAACAAATGGCCCTGCAGGATGTCCGACAAATCAACGGTAACTTTCGAGCCTCATCATCACTGCCGCTGATCGTCCTTCCTGCAATCATATAACAGCGACCTGTAATTCCGTGTGTCTCACAAAGTTCGTAGAGTTCACGCTACAGTAACAAAGACGTATTGTTACAGCTTAGTGTGCATTATCTTTTATAAACCAAATATTTCTCAATCAATCAAAGACCACAAACGTAATATAGACAATTTCAAACTACTGTATTTACACTTTCCACAAATTTATTATTAAAATCGTCGAGTAGTTAATAATTCGATATTTGGAGAGATTGAATACTAAACAATTTAATGGAAGACCTAATTTTAATTTTTCTCTAAAAATTTTCTCTAAAAATCCAAAAAGAATTTAAATTAATTTTGCCCTCCCAGCAGAAAGTTTTGTCACCTTTTACTTAACAATTATTATCTATTAACATTGCGCAAACGGCCTCGAATAAAAGAGAATGTATCGCTAAGAAAATTGGTTTGCTCGCATATGCACAATATTCCGCGTATATGCTCCAAATTGATATACGCATGTATTCTTTACGGCGAAGAAAGGAGAACATAAGAAACAAGTCTTTTGCTCCCTTTTTTAGCAGAACTTATATATGCATATCTTCTTGTAGAAGAAAACTACTACTTGGAATAAGTAAGGGAAAGCACGAGGAAGGATAAAAGGCTAACGAAGGAACGAGAGACGACCACCGACTGCAACGACTACGATGAAGAAGACGACGATGTTATGCATTATGCAGAGGGGTCGCCAGCTCGAGTTTCTATTTGTCCTGGGGCCGTGTACTGCCGTCTACTACCTCGAATACGTTCAAGATTAAACGTAGTATCGAATATGTATATTCGCATATATATATATATATATATATAAGGTGTTCGTAAGAAATACAGACTACCGAATTTCTATGGTGTATTGTGAGAGCTGAAGAAAGTTTCTATACAAATGTACGTCTAATGCTCCCTTAATCTATTCATTTGGTGGCAAATCTCTTCGAGACAAATTAACTTTCAATATTTTCTATAGTATGATAGATAGGATTAATAAAAAATTAAAAAATGACAGTTTTTACTTATCCATTAGTACGAGAATGATATTAAATTATAATATTTCCTTCTAAATTTGAAACTGATGGAAAATCGATAAGACAGCTAGATATGAAAGGGCTAATATAATTCTGCATCTATTACTGCACGAGTCTTGCTTTTCTCATCAAGTATGTAATACGTATCGCCAAATGTCTCTTTATTTTCAGCGAGTATCAATCATTTTTTCTTTCCGTGCACATTTTTATTTACATTTATAAGTAATCTTGTCAACACCCCGAGGGGTAAACCGCTGAGGGCATTGCGGTGTTACAGATTTACGGCATTACTAGGCATTTTCTGGGCACTATTAAGATAAAGTAATGCCCGCTGGGCACTAGTAGGCATTGGTGTATGCACATGATTTTGGTCAGTCGGAGCACCGTTTGCAACATCCCTTTGTAAATATCCGAAAGAAAATTATCATTCCACACTACGCGCGAGGCTCGTTTTTCTTCGACTCGACGAGTTCGGTAAAGTAACTGGAAACAAGATTCTAATATCCAGCCAGACCAGCCACGGTGCCGGTTAAAGCCCAATTTGTGCTCGAGCGGACTTATAAGCGGCACGAAAGGCATGTGGCAACGTCAATCGCAACCAATAACAATTGCATCGTGTTGTTAAAGTACTAATTAATCTCGGCCGTGCGATCAATCACATTCCAATGCGGCAACGCGCCGCATTGTTACTCGACATCTGGTAGACGATCATAAATTCATGATCGTTTCGCAGCGGCAGCTGCGCGCCCGCGCGATCTAATAAAATCAGATCGTGAATCATGTTCGAGCGGAGACGAGAGAAGAATGTTTCGCCGTTGATCTGTCGTGTTTGCCGTGATGTTTGCGAGAGCAAGAGCACGCGCCTCGCTAGGCGTGGCTCGCCCTACTTTCGAGAGATACGGGGGACGAGTTGCAGATCGAGAGTCACTTCCCTGCAGCATCTCTCGTCGCGGAAGCAACGGCCGCTTTCCGATTCCACGAGTGGTGGCCGCGCACCGAAAACGAGAGACTTTCTCTTACATTAGGCGGGACTCCATCGCGCATTTACAAACAACGGGAAAGCTACTCGATCGCCGGACGCGGGGAAAGATCTAATTTTCAACGTCCCATATACGCGGATCGTGCATGTGGAAATGCAGAAAGGCGACCACGTGATTACAACTCTAATTTCGGAACTTGAGATTATCATATCCATCGTGGCGTAGAAACGGCTCTGAGGCGACATGAATTTGCTTAATTCGTGGGTTATACAAATATCTCAGTTGATAGAGACGGATGCGCTTTATTGTAAGCGATATTTTTGAAATTTTAGCGTAACTTTTATATAACTGAGATATGCAAAGTTAAAAATAATTAAGTGTCTCATCGATAAGAAGCTTATTATTTTATGCAAATAAAGTATCTGTAGACGTTCTCAATATTATTTGTATAAAAGCAAAGTACACTGACAAATGCTTTTAACAATAAACATTAACGTGATTATTTGATTAGATAATTAAATTATATATTCACAATATACAATGTGTATTGAATAATCGAATACACATATTATTTTAATCAATATCATTACTTGGCAACTTCTTATATCTTCCCTGAAACATATAAATTATTTCAACCTATGTAATTATTATTGTTATTTCGTGCTATATTCTTGTTCACAATATTAATTTACCCAGTACATGGTAAGCGTATCGAACTTTAGCAGGTAGATAATTATTGTAAACAGTCACGAGGTATTATAAACATGAGAATATAACTACCAATTCAGCCAAACATTTATTTACTAAATAATTTCGCGAACCATGTAACGGTACGATTTGTGGTAATTTCACGTTCTGAGCTTAATCACACAATTTTCTCTTAATTTTTCTGCTAATTACCAGAAGTGACAAACAAAACGGTAGGTAGCAAAAGTGGAGTTGCAGGACCTTTAAAATGTTCATCATGACACGTGATGAATGGGATGTCAACTTTGACCATCCGCTTTTTGAAGAAAAAAAAAGCAAAACTAAATAAAAAAATTAATGAAAAGCGAAGATTTACGGCAACACTCGAAAAAGTGGGCAGAAAGCACACACTTTTTGAGAGCGAGCTAGAAACGCGCGGAACGGAGAGGAGCGGAGGGGAACGCGGCAAGGAAAAGCAAGCCGGCGCGGGGCGTAGCCTCTCGTGAGTAAAACTTTGACCAACACGCTGCAGGAAAGGGAGAACGTGAGCGCTCTGCAACTGCTGCTGCTGCTGCTATTGCTGCTCTGCTGCTGCAGCGGGAGCACGGTCTAATTATCCATGCGCTTTGTGCGTGTACACTGGCTCCAACAAGAGCAACGGCAATGGCACAAATGGCGGTACGAGCGTGATTGCTCGGTCCATGTAGATAGTTCTAGGGCGATTGCTCTCCGTTCAACGAGTTGGCTATCAAAGTAAAAATATCGTGTTCGCTAAGCTACTCGCCTTCGTCTTGTAAACGCCACATGCGCTGCTAACTAAAATCCTAACTGAAAATTTGAGCTGAAATCCTAACGGATTCCAGCACGTTTATCCGTCTGTTTATTTGTTTGTTTATTGATGCAGCGAAGGTATGTACCTACACCCGCCATCATCTATTCTCTTGAGCAGAGTGCTTGAAATCGCCACACTCGAGCGGCGGATATTTCTCGTCGAAAATTGAAATAACTTTTCATTTTATTTCAATTTGCGAAAATAACATTTGCGGCAGAATATACCGTAATCATAATACAACATTTTTATTAATTATTCCTATTTTTAAAACTCTAATACTAACGCTCTTATTTAACTTATTTCATTATATTATAGAAATTTTAACAACTTAAGTTTCAAAAATCATATTAAAATATTTCAACCTTTTATAAATTAAAAAAAATTTTTTTGTATTTTTACGATTTTCTAACTAGATTGAGAAAAAATAGATTCTGATTTGCTTCAGTTTTTTTTACAAACAGGTGATATAACATTTTTAAATCAATTTTAGGTATATTTTGCGAAACATTAAAAATATTAAGCGTTAAAATGTGAAAAAGTGCGCGCGCGAGGGTGAGAGAGAAAGACAATATGTTTTATTTAAATTACAATAAAACGAAATTATTTTGTTTTCAGTGACAGGAACAATTGTGTCCAGCTCTCGAAAAATGTGAATTTTTACTCATTGTCAGTATATTTCCTCTCCCATCTCATTTTAGCATATCTTCACATCTTCTTATCTGTTTTCATCTCGTAATCCCGATCTATGTCGCTGCCGGTCTAGTTCTCTCGATTTTTCTGCTTCCGGTGAATTTTTATGTTCAAAGAAATTGCTACTTCTGATTTGGATGAGTCTTCGGAAAAGTGGAAAAGTTTCCTTTCATTCTCGTATTCCACGTTAAAAGGACACAGAAACATTCAAGTTGCCAGCAGAGGAAAATGACCTGAACATACGATGTCGAACGCAGATAATAATCTACGTAAAGTTAATTCTCGCGTGACTAGGATTTCAAGATACAGTCAAATTCTGCTAAATTTATATTAGTATTTGGTACTCCACTAAATGCAAATGGCTGTTACAACTTCTACACACAATAGAATTTGATTTTCTAAAATATCCAATAGACAATAGACATCTATTGTTTCTGTATTTTCACTTGCAATCTTCTTAGAAAGATCCTACATCTTATTAAAAACTAAGTTGAAAATATCTATTAACAAAGTTTTAAAATTGGAAAAATCCAAAGTGTAAAGACAGCATATAAAAGCATATAAAATAGATATTAAGATGATAATATATTAAAAATAACTTAAGATAGAAAAACCTTCCACTAAGCGATATCATCCAGAGTTCACCCATCTCTATCACAAGAAAAACAAGTTTTTTTTGCAGAGGTGTTTCAACAGTGGCCTTGTTAGCTAAATCCCCAAGCGACTGTGAGAAGTTATATAACTTATAGCATCTTCCTCCCTC